ATTATAAACAACAACGGGCCCAAGACTGATCCCTGTGGAACACCACTTGTTACTGATCCCCACTCGGATTTAACCCCATTTATGGACACTCTTTGCTTCCTGTCTGTGAGCCATGATTCGATCCACGAGAGCACCCTTCCCCCAATGCCATGAGCTGCTACTTTCTTCAACAGTCTTTGGTGAGGAACTCTATCAAAAGCCTTACTAAAATCTAAGTAAATAATACCAAATTCTTTATCGTGGTCAACAGCCTCAAAAGCTTTACTGAAGAAAGTTAATAAATTAGTTAGACAAGACCGGCCTCTTGTGAATCCATGCTATCATTAATCAAGCTATGCTTATCGAGATGGCTTCTTATAATCTGAGCTATAATTGACTCTAGTAATTTGCCTACAATTGAGGTCAGGCTTATTGGGCGGTAATTTGACGGTAACGACTTGTCCCCTGTTTTAAAAATAGGAATTGCATTAGCCATCTTCCACATATCAGACACTACACCTGTTTGAAGAGATAAATTAAAAATATTAGTTAATGGTTCACAGACTTCCATTTTGCATTCCTTTAGAACCCTTGAAAAAACCTCATCAGGACCCGGTGACTTATTTTGCTTCAGTCGGTCTATCTGCTTCACAACCATTTCACTAGTGACTGTTATGTTACATAATTTATCTTTTTCTGATCCACTATAAAAATTAATTACCGGAATGAATGAAATTCAGAGACGCCCAATTAGTGATCAAAGAAACTAATTTCCACAGACGCAAGTGCCTCGAATCAGCACTGATCGCTGTTTCGAATACAATTAAACAAAACAACGGCAGCTTCACCATCTCCGAAATCTTAGCAAGAATCCTCCTGAAAACAGTAAACCCTGCCATCACATAGTCTCTCCTGTTATACTACACAAAGCACAGAGAGTGAACACTGAAAGAAGCTGCCTCATTCCAGTCTATATTTGTCCAACCTATTTTTATGTTACCCAAGTAATAGCTTTTATATCCTTTTACTCATGTACGAATTAATTGCTCTACCATATTGTATTACTTTTGTCACTACCACTACTACTACTACTACTACTACCACTAGTGAACATCGAAATGGTACCTCACTAGTATTACACCTCACTCTGAGCCTTTATATACCCTCTGTGTCCATGTATTGTTAGTAATGGCTTGATAAAGCTCCTGGAGAGCGAAACGTTGCCACAATAAATGTCACATTAGTTGCACTTGTGTCCTTTTACTTTACATATTGTCGGTAATTCTACCATCTTTATTACAAGTCAGTAGATACTGTACACTTGAGAGAGATATGGAAGACAGTGCATGTAGTCCCAGGAGATAGACAAGAAGCGTTTTATAGATTAATACCACTCTAAAGTTTTGGTATAACATCACACCTTATTCAATCGACTTCAAATTTTAAGCTGTGCTCAGCTACTACTATGTGAAAGTTTGTAAAGTAATTGACATTTCCAGGTGCTCTCTGCTCAGTTTTATATAGATTATTCCCGAAATTGATTTCCATGACATGCTTAAGATGCAAGTTAATAGAGAAGATAAGCAGAGACTGATGGAACACTTAAAGGGAATTAGTTTCGTAAACATAAACCAGCACGGGTTGAGAGATTGCAATTCTTGTCTGATATACTTGCTGGGTTCTGTGGCAAAGTAACAAAAGTGAGACGGGAGAGAAAGGTATAGGTAGAGTACAAAATTGTATATGATACTGTACCTCACAAGAAACTCTGACAAAAACTTGAGGAGTAGGCAGGAATAATAAGGAATGCGCTACAGTGGATCAAAGAGTGGATCATGGGAAGATCACAGAGGGATGGTCCAATAAGAGATGTTAAAATGAGAAAGCGTAGTGAGTAGTATTCCACAAAGATCGGTATTAGGGGTAATACTGTTTCTAATATATGTAAATGGCATACCAAATAAGATAGTGTCAGATGTATCCCTGTTTCCAGATGTAAAATTAAGGAGGATAATAAAAACCAGTGTGGATAAGGAGAAGCTACAAACGTACCTGGGCAAACTGCAGGATTAGTCAGACAAGTGGTTAATGGAATTCAATCAGGCAAATGCAAATTTGAGAAAAAATTGGAAAGGATAAAGGAAACAGAAACTAAATATTGCCTCGGGGAGGGGGTGGTCAGAGGCTGTAAACCTGATTCATGGAGAAATACTTAGGGGTGAACATAGTGCCGAGCATATTGCTAGACACACATATCAGCCGAATAACTTCTGCAGCGAATGCTTGTTTTGGAAATCTAAGAGTAGCTTTCAGGAATCTCAACAGATTCATTTACGGCCGTATATGCGATATATGTCAGGCCCATCTTCGAGTATGAAGCACCACGTGAAACCCATACCTGGTGAAACATGTTTAGAAGCTGGACAAAGTGCAGAGGTATTCAGTGGGACTCGTCTAAGAGTTAAAAGATTTTTTTTTTTTTAGATTTTGCCAGCGAGGTTGCTAGTTTATTGTGCACCCCATATCCATCCTGTGGACGTTAGTGCAAGAGTATAAAAGGCCTAGGAACTAGGCCTCAGAAGGTTTAACAGGAGTACATTTTTTAACCCTTTTAGGGCCTAGTTCCTAGGCCCTTTGTGTATTGAACTATGAGGCGAGACTAAAGGGACTGAGTCTGATGATGTAAAATTGAAGACTCAGGGGAGACATTGTTATGACATACAAAATAATCGGCGGACTTGCTAGGATGGGCAGTGATAAACTGTTCTAGAGGCGGGGAAGCGGTACACGTGGATTCAGTTGGAACTTAAAAACAGATGATTCACAGGATTTCAGGAAGTATTTGTTCAACCTGAAGGGAGGAATCAGGAAGTGATGAAGACGTGGTAGAGGCCGTCTCAATACATTGTAAAGAATAGGCATGACAGGGCGAACGTGGCTAGAAGGGAGTCAACTCACCAGGTGACAAGAGGCAGGGCCGGGAGCTGAAACTTTACCCCTCCAACCATAAATAGGTAAGTACAGCTATAATAATAGTAATAATAATAATAATAATAATAATAATAATAATAATCTTTATTTCTGCAAATACATGATACAACTTACACAGACCCAACTGACATCAGTGACATACTAATACAGAAAGCGCCTAGTTATGCAGAGCATTTCGGGCAACTTGCGCTAACATCCAGGTACTGGAGAGGGTTTCAGGGGTCAACGCCCCCGCGGCTACTTACAGTAGGTGTAAGAAAACACGCCCAATGTTTCGACCCTTACCGGGGGTCGAACCACGGACACTCAGTGTGTGAGCTGAATGCGCAACCAACCAAGTAAGTTTATTTAGGTACGGTTGTACAGAAATACAGTTAGACAAGTTGTACCTAGTAACATATATGAGAATTACCTAGGATAACCAAAATGAAGTCAAAGCGATTTATTTCCATTTGTGGCCCGAGCTACGGTTGATCCAGGGAAGACATGGGTAGCTTCAGTTCCTTGATTCAAGAGCCTTTCTTGTCAAAAAAAACTCATAATGGGTGCGTGCAGAGGAAATACCAGAGTCAGTATGAGTGGAGGCAGTGAGGAGCGTATGTAATAGATGGGTGGGTGTGACGGGAGGGGGGGGATGGATTGGGTAGGAGAGGGGTGACTGTGGGTGGGTGTGATGGGGTGGGGGGGGGAACATTGTGGATGGGGAGGAGAGTTGTGTCCACCTGTGTTCTAGTGACCCTCCATCCTCCGTCGTGGTTGTGCTCACACTACTGCCCTGCCCTCCACACCACCTCTTGATGCCCACCCCACACTTCCTGCTGCCCACCCTACCACCTCTTACAGCCTTCCCCTCCCCCTCCCCCAACAGCCACCTGCCCACCACATCGCCTACTGCCCGCATCCCCCACCCTGCCCTGCTGCTGCTGCTGCTGCTGCTGCTGCTGACAGTGCTCGCCAGAGTCGCCTATACGAAGGACTGGTATATAGGCATCACTGGCTTCAGCAGAACCGGGCGTACCACCTGAGGACCAGTTGAGCTAGTAGTGACCATAGTGCCAGCTGAGCACCAGCTGAACAAGCAATGATCTTCATAGTGCCATCTGAAGACCAGCTGAGAGATCACTGACACTACCTTCATAGTGCCATCTGAAGACCAGCTGAGATCACTGACACTCTACCTTCATAGTGCTATCTGAAGACCAGCTGAGATCACTGACACTCTACCTTCATAGTGCTATCTGAAGACCAGCTGAGAGATCACTGACACTACCTTCAAAGTGTCATCTGAAGACCAGCTGAGAGATCAGTGACACTTTACCTTCATAGTGCCGTCTGAAGACCAGCTGAGAGAGCAGTGTCACATTACCTTCACAGTATCTACCTGTTAACACAAATATTATATTTTTGCAAATACTTTAATTTTAATTTTCTAATTTCTGAGTGTGGAAGAAGAACTCTCGTTTCCCTTCTCAATGAGTGTGAAACAAGTACTCTGGTTTCCCTTAATGAGTGTGGAACAAGTACTCTGGTTTCCCTTCTTAGCGAGTGTGGAAGAAGGAACAGTTTCTTCTGTTTAATAAGCACGGAGAGTTAATAAGCTAGGGTAACTAAAGTAGTCTGGCTTCTTTCCTGTGCCTAATCTGGGAAGACGGCATATTATAATGTAAGAAATGTGCAATACGTAGGTATTTTTATTGTCGTAACGTTTCTCTCGTGCACCATTCATCAGTCGAATACTAGAGATTATAACACTGGATACAGTAGAAGTGGAGAGGTAATTTTTGAGGTGATTACTCCTTCAGTTTTGAAAGAAGGTAGTCAGTCCCTCATTGGATGATGGTAGCCTGTGTGGTGAGGCCTGGACGAGACGAACCACATCAACCATGTGCCTGAGTAGCCACAGACGCTGCCAGCATATTGCTTTGTGATAGTGACTCCAGTTATTGTGATACTTGTCTTGTGTGAAGAACAGCTAGTAGACTGACACATCTGTTTGTGTGTTTACCACATCATGGAGCACACTCACAGCTCTTACTCTCAGAAAAATGTGGTAAGTAGTAAATCTATTGTGCTCTCTCTCTCATTCTCTAAGATGATATATAATAATTAGTAAATCTGGGGTGTCCTCTCTCTTATTCTCTGTTTCTAGGAGGATATGTAGTAATTAGTAAATCTGGGGTGTTCTTTCTTTGTACGATAAAATTTCTTAAGGAAATTTACTAATGATTTTAGAGACGGTTGGTTCTGAGGGCACGAAGGTGTTGTGGTACACAGTTTGCTGATAAATTACGTAACTTTAATATTTAATAACCAAATATATAATCAAGTGTGAACACCCCCCCCCCCTCTCTCTCTCTCTCTCTCTCTCTCTCTCTCTCTCTCTCTCTCTTCTTCTCTCTCTCCTCTCTTCTTCTCTTCTCTCTCTCTCTCTCTCTCTCTCTCTCTCTCTCTCTCTCTCTCTCTCACCAGTCATCATTGTACATCTTTCTTTTTTCACGTTACCTAAGGGGAGAGGAGAGCTGTGATGCTAGTGGATGACTTTAGATTAATGGAACTGGAGTTAGCTGTAACTTCCTCGGATCAAGCCTAATTATCCCAACCCTTCCCATTCCCTATGGGTTGAAAACTTTCTTATATAATAACTCACTCCCTCTACATATCCACAAAAAAATATTTGCCTTTCAAGATTAAGTTAACCTAACTTAATCTGTGTTTACATCTAGATAAAAACAATAATAAGATAGCATTTGACAGCTCGGGATACTTTATAATTACTTACAGTGTTGATATCCCTACCTGTTATTATCGCTATCATTTGTTATCCCTACCTGTTATTATAACTATCATTTGTTATCCCTACCTGTTATTATAACTATCATTTGTTATCCCTACCTGTTATTATAACTATCATTTGTTATCCCTACCTGTTATTATAACTATCATTTGTTATCCCTACCTGTTATTATAACTATCATTTGTTATCCCTACCTGTTATTATAACTATCAGTTGTTATCCCTAAATGTTATTATCTACCAGTTGGTATCTCTACCTTCTAGTATCTCTACCTGTTGGTATGTCTACCTTTTAGTATCTCCACCTTCTAGTATCTCCGCCTTCTAGTATCTCCACCTTCTAGTATCTCCATCTTCTAGTATCTCCATCTTCTAGTATCTCCACCTTCTAGCATCTCTACCTGTTGGTATGTCTACCTTCTAGTATCTCCACCTTCTAGTATCTCTACCTGTTGGTATGTCTACCTTCTAGTATCTCCACCTTCTAGTATCTCCACCTTCTAGTATCTCCAGCTTCTAGTATCTCCAGCTTCTAGTTTCTCCATCTTCTAGTATCTCCACCTTCTAGTATCTCCACCTTCTAATATCTCCATCTTCTAGTATCTCCACCTTCTAGTATCTCCACCTTCTAGTATCCATACCTATTATCTCCACCTTCTAGTATCCCCACCTATTATCTCCACCTTCTAGCATCTCCACCTTCTAGTATCTCCATCTTCTAGTATCTCCACCTTCTAATACCTCCACCTTCTAATATCTCCACCTTCTAGTATCTCTACCTGTTGGTATGTCTACCTTTTAGTATCTCCACTTTCTAGTATCTCCACCTTCTAGTATCTCCACCTTCTAGTATCTACACCTAGTATCTCCACCTTCTAGTATGTATCTGTTGGTATCTCCACCGTCTAGTATCTATCTGTTGGTATCTCTACCTTCTAGTATCTATCTGTTAGTATCTCCACCTGTTTGTATTTCCACGTGTTGGAACACTTGTCCAACATTTGGGTATCTTTACTCTGAAAACGTTTCGCCGGCCAGTTTCTTCTTCAGTCCAATGCGGAGAAAGGTGGAAGATGAGGAGTGTGGGGTAATCAGTCCCTCAGCCTGAAGTCAATGTTTTCAGTCCATCAATCTTGAGATTGATAGACTAAACATAGTATGTAGTATGAGTGACAGTGTTGTATGTTTGTTGATGTGTTGTAGTGTGAGTGACTGTGTTGTATGTTTGTTGATGTGTTGTAGTGTGAGTGACTGTGTTGTATGTTTGTTGATGTGTTGTAGTATGAGTGACAGTGTGTTTATGTTTGTTGATGTGTTGTAGTGTGAGTGACAGTGTGTTGTATGTTTGTTGATGTGTTGTATGAGTGACAGTGTTGTATGTTTGTTGATGTGTTGTAGTGTGAGTGACAGTGTGTTGTATGTTTGTTGATGTGTTGTATGAGTGACAGTGTTGTATGAGTGACAGTGTTGTATGTTTGTTGATGTGTTGTAGTGTGAGTGACAGTGTGTTGTATGTTTGTTGATGTGTTGTATGAGTGACAGTGTTGTATGTTTGTTGATGTGTTGTAGTGTGAGTGACAGTGTGTTGTATGTTTGTTGATGTGTTGTAGTATGAGTGACAGTGTGTTGTATATTTGTTGATGTGCTGTAGTGTGAGTGACAGTGTGTTGTATGTTTGTTGATGTGTTGTAGTATGAGTGACTGTGTTGTATGTTTGTTGATGTGTTGTAGTATGAGTGACAGTGTGTTGTATGTTTGTTGATGTGTTGTAGTATGAGTGACTGTGTTGTATGTTTGTTGATGTGTTGTAGTATGAGTGACAGTGTGTTGTATGTTTGTTGATGTGTTGTAGTGTGAGTGACAGTGTGTTGTATGTTTGTTGATGTGCTGTAGTGTGAGTGACTGTGTTGTATGTTTGTTGATGTGTTGTAGTATGAGTGACAGTGTGTTGTATGTTTGTTGATGTGTTGTAGTGTGAGTGACTGTGTTGTATGTTTGTTGATGTGTTGTAGTGTGAGTGACAGTGTGTTGTATGTTTGTTGATGTGTTGTAGTGTGAGTGACAGTGTGTTGTATGTTTGTTGATGTGTTGTAGTATGAGTGACAGAGTGTTGTATGTTTGTTGATGTGTTGTAGTGTGAGTGACAGTGTTGTATGTTTGTTGATGTGTTGTAGTATGAGTGACAGTGTGTTGTATGTTTGTTGATGTGTTGTAGTATGAGTGACAGTGTGTTGTATGTTTGTTGATGTGTTTGTAGTGTGAGTGACTGTGTTGTATGTTTGTTGATGTGTTGTAGTGTTATCATGTGGATTCGAACACGTGTGGTAAGTATATCATGTAGGATGGAGTACGTATTATTGAGGATAATGTGTGGAGCGCCCTAACAGCCGAACCTTGTCTCCTTGTCACTTCTGTAACATGATGGCCGCCCACAGTGACCCATATGTTGAGGGGGTCTTTGAATACTGCTGTGGTCAGCGATATGATACAGACAGTGACTCAGGCAGGACGGTTGTAGTGGAGTCAACTATGGTACATGTGTTACGTAACTGGTTTTACTTTTGAGGCTCGGGCGACGCTAGTTTATGTCGTTCCCGAATAAATAATACAGAACTAGAGATGGCAGGTGTCGCTTGGGCTGATTCTATACATGTCAAAGTACACAACTTATTAACATTATAGTAATGAGTAGAACATTGGATGGAAGCTTACGTAATGAACGTTAATGTCATTACAAGGTATAATATAGCCAACTAGTCGATGAAATAACGTTGGGATACACAGTGGAAGTGTGATAAAAAAATTTGATCGTGATCAATCTGTATCATGTGATCTTCGGATTTGGAAGGTATATATACAGAGAAAGAGTGTTTAAGAGAGGCAGTTCGGTGCATCAAATTGTTGACTGTTAACTCTCAGAATGCGAGAGAACATGAACACAAAAAAATTCTTGAATCTGATAAGTTGATACTGTTTATTCATCTATACTGGTTATTTTACATTTAACCCAACTCTGCTAGGTAGTGTTGACTTGCAGAATGGGGTGTCATTTTGGGAGGATCAAACTTGATGCATTTGGCAACTCATGCTGTATTTTGAGCAATCTGATTGTGAAGTTACAAATGATACTTGAGGATTTCTCAATTACTGTCATGTACATAGGGAATATACGACATTTAGGTTGATCTGTTGATGAGTATCAGTGAAGAGAGTACAGGATCATGAGGATTGTTGATGTTCTGTCCATTAGTCTGGTTGGGACATTCATTTATCATTCAATTTTACTCATATGATCTAAATGTCGGATTCTTTATATGACAGTTCTAATCTCTTCTATACCTTATATTATTACAGTGATATGTTTCAATTATCGATAAGGACCAACAACTTTTGATCAAGCTTTGGCATTGCAGACGTTTTGTATTAAAGTTAATCTGCATACTTCTCGTAATACTACTTGTGATTTTGGATGGCTTTGCTCGAGTGTTGCGACTCTTGTTAATTCTGCTGTTGATTTATGAAGTGTTTTCGATTCTTCTAAAAACACTTTGAGCTAGTGTACGTGTTGCTATGAAAGTCATCAGGGTTGTATTTGTTTGTGATTAGATATAACAACTCATTAAGGCAAGACGTTTGATCTACACGTACAATGCATTAATGTGGAGTGCACCTATAGAAACATTGTAAGCAGATTTATAGGTTGTAGTGAGTCAACTACTGGTTACATGGCTGGTTCTGGTAACTGGGTGTTTACTACTGAGAGTGTGAGTGACTGTGTTGTATGTTTGTTGATGTGTTGTAGTGTGAGTGACAGTGTGTTAGACAACACAGGTGTAGACATTACTGAGAGTCCCATGATGGTTAATACCATGACTACTACACATCTTCACCAACATCTTACACTGGTACTCAGCAGACGGAGGGTCGAGCCTCCACCACATCTTGCGCTGAATGATCCACATGGTCATATCACTTAACATGAATACGTGATGAGCGTATCTTTCGTAACAAATTAAGCTTATACAGCATCCCTCCCTTCCCCCATTCCTCCACGCTTTTGTAATTTCATTTTCTCAGTTAAATATGCGTAAATATAGATAATTTAACAATCGAAAACTCTATTACTCTACAACTACTGAGTGTGAAATGAAGCCTGATATATATTTTGCACTCTGGCAAGATTCTTTCTTTGTCCTGTCTCAGGATAATAATAATAATAATAATAATAATAATAATAATAATAATAATAATAATGAT